TATTGATCCCACTTCGCATGCACCAGGTATGTCTCAGAGCTTTGAAATGTTCCAGCACCACAGAAATGTTTGATTTCTGTTCCCCTTGCAGAATGCCTCTTGGGGACAGCTTCTCAAGCTGTTGCAGCTCTCCAAAGTCAATGTGTGGTAGGGACTGCTACCCTCACTTCCAAACTGCCCTGTGCACAACTCCTGACTGTGATAAAAAATCTGTTGGTGAACGAGTTGTATTCATGATAAATCTTTCCAACAAGACAACCATGAAAGGAGAAGCTCTCTTCCTGCTGCTTGTTCTGCAGATTGTGAAATCCATAAGCTCACTATAAATAAGCAGGCACACATAAACACGCAGTTTCTAACCCCTGCTAGCCTGTGGGACTTCCAGGAGCACCAGGAGCCTGCTGCTGCAAACAAAAGATAACAGATCCCTATTCTGAATTGTTTCCCCATTATTACCTATGCAACTAATTACGATTTCCCGCACAGACATATTTTCTACTGAAAGCAATCCTGCTTGTTCCAGGTTGTCCTTTATAGACAGGTTCTCTGCTGTTTTCTCTCAGACTGATATTGGATTTCCTGTGTCAGAAGTAGTAAGAGTTGGTCTCAAACAGGAAAGCTTATACATACAGCACCTTCAGTAACAGCAGCAAGATCACCATGGGCCAGATTTTCTCTCCTGCAGCATCTGGCTTGTGCAAGTGGTTTTCCTACTGCAACTGGTAATACACTAAAGTGAGAAAGGAGATTTTCCATGTCCATTGGGTTTACCACTGACTCAAATTGCATGACACTGCATTCCTCTGCCAAGTTCTCATTGGTTCTAAGTTACTCAATTCTCAAAAAAAAGTTTTTCTTTCCATAGTATGCCTGAAAACCATGGAGATAAAACAGAGTAAGAAATATTGAAGGATTAAAAGGACATTAAAATACAGGTTTGACAGTGTACAAAAGCCAAGAAATGATTACAACTATAAAGAGAGCCTTCTAAGACCCTGAAGAATCTTTTGGACAGAGATATATACATTTTTTTGTTACTCTGTGAATTTTTGCATTTGAAGTAACAAACTTCAAACCATCACAGAATCACACAGAATCACAGAATTGTAGGGGTTGGAAGGGACCTCCAGAGATCATCGAGTCCAACCCCCCTGCCAAAGCAGGTTCCCTACAGCAGGTCGCACAGGTAGGCATCCAGGCAGGTCTTGAACATCTCCAGAGAAGGAGACTCCACCACCTCCCTGGGCAGCCTGTTCCAGTGCTCCGTCACCTCACTGTAAAGAAGTTCTTGCGCATGTTTGTGCGGAACTTCCTATGCTGCAGTTTCCAGCTGTTTCCCCTTGTCCTGTCTCCACTCACCACTGAAAAGAGTCCGGCCTCGCCATTCTGCCCCCCACACCTTAGATATTTATAGACCTGGATCAGGTCCCCTCTCAGTCTTCTTTTCTCAAGGCTGAACAGACCCAGTTCACTCAGCCTTAATCCATCCATGTGGGGAAGGATCACTCCTGGGTTTATAAAGGAATCCAGATGACCACAGCAGATAGAACAGAATTTCTGTTAAAAACTTGTATGAATCTGCTCATGTGACACCTGGCCGTATGAATCTTCATAGCAGCTGATATATCATCCTTCCCTTTCCTTTCTTCCTTTTATCCATTAAACAACAAATCCCTCTCAATCCTCCTATACATCCTTGTCTTTCTGTTACACGGGTCCTGCCACTTTGCAGCAGCCCTTGGTCCTGCTATCTCTCCTCCTTATTACACAGAATCACAGAACCACAGAATGGCCTGGGTTGGAAGGGACCTCAAGGATCATGAATCTCCAACCCCCTGCCACATTCAGGGCCACCAACCTCCCCATTTAATACTAGACCAGGCTGCCCAGGGCCCCATCCAACCTGGCCTTGAACACCTCCAGGGACGGGGCATCTACAACCTCTCTGGGCAGCCTGTGCCAGCACCTCACCACTCTCTCTGTAAAGAACTTCCCCCTGACATCCAACCTCAATCTTCCCTCCCTCAACTTAAAACCATTTCCCCTTGTCCTGCTGTTATTTACCCTTTCAAAGAATTGACTATAAACAATAGGCTCCCTTTAGGTACTGCAATTAGGTCACCCCACAGCCTTCTCATCTACAGGATGGACAAGCCCAGCTCCCTCTGTTTGTCTTCACAGGGGAGGTGTTCCAGCCCTCTGATCATCTTTGCATTCAAAGCTCCTTCCTTTCTGCCCATGCCTCTGCTCACCACATTATAGCTGTGGTACAGCATTGCAAATAGCACATTGGTGCTATCGTCATCCCATGTCGAGCTCTCACCCCAGCGATGATCATGGACCCTCCCTGCCCTTGCTGAATAGCACTGACAAACTTCATGCAGTCCTTCCTTGATGGTATCCTAAATGGATACATACTGGACAGCTGGGCTACACAATATGAGCAGCTGCTCCACAATGGCAGTGCATGGTGTGAGAACAGCTCTCATCTGTCCAACTCTGGGACTCCTTAAACACGTAAGTCTACCAGTGAGTAATCCCTAACTGCCTCTGTGGACACTCCAATGGATGAGTGAAGCAGACTGGCTGCTAATTGGGAGCTATTGGTGTGAAAGGGGATGCTCTATACATTATTTCAGTGATTCAGTGTGTGTACCACAAAAAGCTGCTGTGTTCTGTATTGCATTAATTGACCCTATAAAAATCACACAATTGGAAGAAAGGCAATGACTCTTCCCATTTGACCCTAGTACTCTTAATGTTAATGACTCTTTCCTCATCCCTGTCTCTCATCAACAGCTTTCAAGGAAGCAACATTAAGAAAGCATATTCCTGCAAGAGAGAGACATCAGGCTCAGTTCATTTAAAAGTAATAGTCCAATAAAACTAATTTAACATTCACATCAGAAGTGTCTTTGGAGATTCCCACCCTACCCAGCATGGCCCTGTTCAGTTGACATAGTATTAGTTTGTAAGCCATGGATGTGCTCAGTGTGTCCGTGTAGAACAGGCATGAGCTCTTGCTTGGCCAACAGCATGCATTTTCCTAGAAGAAAATAAAACCACTTATTGAGCTTTTGTTGGAGTCCACAAAACAGTGACCACCCATATATTAGATAGTGAGAGGTTATAATTGGCACTACATAAAGTGATCTCCACTTGTACTCCAACTTACAGTACTTGGTAGAAGTCGACAGAAAATGTGCTGTTTAGATCCTTGATGGACTCAGAAATGAGTAGGAAGAAAATGAAAGCCAAAATGTTTACAGAGTTATCAAATCCCACTGAAAATATTTGAGCTTTCAGTAGTACTCCACTAGTTACTTAAGTGATCCAGTGCTTTAAATAGTTTTGATTGCCTTAAGTGTCTAAAGAAGTATATTTGAATTCCAGTAATATTGAGGAACTGGAGCACAGATAAAGCAATGATTGTTGAGTTAAGTAAATAATAAAATCTTCTGTGAATCAAACTGTAAGTTTTTGTGATCTCCCCAAGATCTTCACAGCTGAATTTTATGGACTCTGAATATACAGATTCATGAATGTGTCTGAAAAAAAGAAGGTAGGAATGGATTGAAGTACTAAGGAAAGGGAGTGACACATTTTCTCTGGAACACCTTGAATGGTGTTAAAATTATACCACAAGAAATGCAGCATTTAAAACACTGGGAGCAAGCAGCAAAGTTTCAGCTTAATCAGTTCAGCTGAGTCAACTAGTTCATAGAATCAATCATAGAATCATAGAATCATAGAATCATAGAATCATAGAATCATAGAGTCATAGAGTCATAGAGTCATGGGCAGGGTCACCAACCACCAGACCAGGCTGCCCAGAGCCACATCCAGCCTGGCCTTGAATGCCTCCAGGGATGGGGCATCCACAACCTCCTTGGGCAACCTGTTCCAGTGCCTCACCACCCTCTGGGTAAAAAACTTCCTCCTAATATCTAACCTGAACCTCCCGTCTCAGTTTAAAACCATTCCCCCTTGTCCTATCACTGTCCACCCTCGTATACAGTCATTTCCCCTCCTGTTTATATTTTCCCTTCAAGTACCGGAAGGCCACAATGAGGTCTCCCCAGAGCCTTCTCTTTTTCAAGCTAAATAAGCCCAACTCCCTCAACTTTCTTCACAGGAGGGGTGCTCCAGCCCTCTGATCATCTTAGTGTCCCTCCTCTTATGGAGTTCAGACACTACTGCACCAACATGTAACACATATTTACCAATCTGGAGGTAACACAATTATTTAATCATATTTTGTTACAGCTTTTGATGTTTTAAGAGCCAGATGCCATGACCAATATTTAAGGACTCAATCAGCCCAACTATTTTTTTCTGTTACAAATCTGCACCTTCTTACCAGTCATTACTGCCCCAAAGATCTTGATTTACTGCTGACCTGTGTTTGCCAAAACATAACAACACTGACAGAATTATTACATGCATCCATTAAAACTGTTCAAATTGGTCAAATTTAATTAAACAAAGCTGTTGGTAAGAATCCTAGGTTTGCCAAGGAGTAGCTATAAATGCATATTTCTAGAAATATAACATACATTCAATAACAGACATTTATACTGATCCTAATTCATTTGTTGCATAATGTTTTCTACCGTGATGATTATAAATTATGTATTGTAAATTAACAAGTTTAAAAATGTACTATCCTAGAAGGAAGGAAGGAAGGAAGGAAGGAAGGAAGGAAGGAAGGAAGGAAGGAAGGAAGGAAGG